ATTTATATTCGTAAGATTTTTCTTTGGATGAATATAACTTTCAAACGAGCTTCAATCATATATATATGTATAATAATAATGGAATCATGGATCATTACCATTACATGAAATCAAATGGAACACAATCGTTTGTATCGAGTGTGTGTCGCTTTGCGTGCCAAAAGCAACTTGTACAATAATTTTTGGTAATGAAAAGACATTGATATTCGTCGCTCGCCTATTTATATAATTAATATTATCAATCATTTTCTTATTTTCCATATCGAATAGATTATCTCCTATTCTGCTTATAACTATTCGATCAAATTGTTAGACGCCTCCAATTAATAAGCATCATGATCAGTATTGGAGTAATTAACTTTTGTCATTCAAATCGCTGCATTTTATTATTTGGAACATGAACAGCATTACATAATTCTTATATCGCTTTTATTGCATTCTTGTACTTTGTAGGTATTTACTGTTAACTGTATTGAGTTTGTGTATTTAAATCAGATGATAATTGATTAAAGCTGGAATCAAACCGATTGTAACAGTTACGAGCGACAACGTAATGTTCAACGCTGGTCGTAAGAAACGTGTATCAAACGATCATTCACGTACTTAAGTTTTAACAATCGGAACAATTTGAGCAGTTACCGCATTACGCGCTCTAGGTATTTAATGTACCAGATATTTTTATAAATAATATTCTTCGGGTCACTGTAACTCGCGCGATGATGCAATGACAGGAAAAAGGGCGAAGTTGATTCAGCTAACGTGTCTGAAAATTATGGACAGTTCGAAACAGGCGTTAAATAGAAAAATGTCATATTTTGAATAAGATTTATACGCACTATATTCGTGTCTATCCATAAACTAAATGTTCATGTAAATCACTATGAAAACTTACTGTTTACGATTTACGGGGTCCTCTAAACGATAACTGCACGTGAAGCTGAAAAAGCGTAGCTGATGATCCAGCGAGGTCTTTCCAATAAATTAAAATTTAATTGTACTGATTACAGTACCAATTACGCATTGCTATTGTATATATGTATATTAATCGGCAATGTTCTTCTAATTGTGTGTATGTGTGTAATTTTATTTCGGGTATACCAGAAATAGAAATTGTAGTAACAGCGATAGCAATTTAGTAATATCGTTTGTATAAATAGGTAATGTTAATTCAAAGTTGTTGATCAATGTCCAACGAAATTAGAAATGCTTTCATTGTCATTTTTCATGAATTTAGTTAAATTGCGTTTTGCTGAAGACAGAAGGTTTTTTTCGTCGTGCTATTTTCGAAATCCGAACTGTGAATCTGAATCTTCAGAGGCCTATCGCTTGCAATACTGCTACAGTGATAGTAATACTTCGGAACTCTGAACATAAATAAATTATCGGGGTTGTAATAATAGCATAAAGAATATTAAGTGCGGGATACGTAGGATATTATTTTGTGGGTGAGAATCGTCATGGTTGTTTGCGATGTACTTTATTCACCAAAAGGATTAGTATATAGTTATCAATATGATACGATATCTATATAAATATATTTGTGTAAAATGCGTGTTTTCCGGTCAGTTCAAATATTATTATTATAGTACATGTAGCGTACGATGTAACGTTAAGATGCAGAATTGATATTACAAGAGAAATTTTCGTTTAAAATCAATGGATGACTTATAATTAGAAATATTTTGTTTCCAGTGTGAGCGCATTATCAATCAGACGGTGTGTGGTTGTTGAAAACTTTCATAATTAAGGAAAATTTCTTACAGACTTCTAATTAGAGAATTAAATGTCGTAAATGCGGAAACAGAATATTTCCCAGTTTGTTAGTAGTCATTTTAGTTAAATCGGGGTAGAAGTACGTATAAGAAAATAGAATGGAGGCGAAAGGGAATAAAAATGAAATAAGGAATAAAAATTATATTTTTCCAACATTCAGTTGCAACTATTCACTGCGCCCGCCCGATTAGACATCAACGCTTATAACGCTTTGTACATATATATTTATTCGTCGCTACATTTCTTAGATATTGTATGAGGGATGCTGGCTTACGTCGTGTTAACAATTCGAAGTATGTCGCTTCAAGGGACCACAGAATATGGACAAATAATAAATCCTACGGAATCGCATTTTACATTCTCATCGTTAATTCCCACATCAATTATTTACAACAATATTATTAGCATTCGCATGTGCATTTATATCCGTTTACATTAAAAATGAACATATATTTAATCCGATGATAAACTATATATTTAATAAATATATTCTTTAATTTATAATACGTACGAATTTCTCCTAGTTTTAATTGTTATTTACGAAATTGTTTACTATATTTGCTGCACTTTCTTTTAAACGGTTTTACAGGCTTCGAGTCGCCCTCGTTGGTCTCTGGTTTGCTTTTAATGTTCTTTTTCGCCGATTCATTAGCCATAGACTTCATCCCTTTGCTTCGAACCAGCAATCTGACGTTCCTTCTAGGAGATTTTTTCTTACTCTTAATCTTTTTCTTCGTCTTGCGTTTCTTCTTACGATCCATATTAGCTATTATCGCTTCCGTGTTGGCGGACACTTTTATCTTCGGCTGTTGAGTAGCAACGTTGACCCTCACGTACAAATCGTACATAACGTCCCCGCAAAATTCACCGAAGCAGTATTCCTCGCCACACTCCGTGCAAGTTTTCACGCTACTTTCGATTATCCCAATTCGGTTTTTACTACGTCTAATGGGGCTTATGGTTGACCGTCGCTCTTTAGCAATTGTTCGCGCTTCCAGCTTTCCCATTTCCACCTGAGACGCAACGAGTGTAAAGTACAATGAGGAGAGAAAGATACAACAGATTGGAATAAAATAAATACCAGTCTGGAAAACAGCTCCTCGTCTTGTCTATGCTTTGGTCTGATAGGCGTTAACATTCTCCAGTCGATAGCGACCTGTTGCAGTTCACTAAGATTTAAACCTCTCATGTCTGGCGGCACCGGATTTCCGTAATTCCATTCCTTCCCAAACGCTTTCAATTCTTTTCTAGTCGGCTTCCATGAAAATTCTTTGTCGCGTACCTTCGCATCTTCTTTCTTCACCTGTGCCAATGAGGAGACGTCTTTATTTCAGTATATCTCTTATAGATCCCTTGAATCTTATTAACTATTTCCATGATTCGGACTTTTTCGGTTTTAATTTTAAACTCGGGGCAATTCTCTAGAAGTTGCCGAAACTCCTCCTGAGAGTTACAGGTCGCTTTGCTTAGATCGGGTAATAAATTCGCATCCTTCTTATCATCTCTGAGGAGATCGTCCAATTGGAAGGCCATTATTTACATCTGCAATCCAAGAAAAACGTTCAAGTCTCATTTTTCAATAGACAATTCCTCGTGTTCTCTGCGAGATCTCACTTTCTACAAAACTGAAACGAAAGAAACGGAAACTCGAAACAAAAAACGCGGTAGCTTGTTTGATCTTTGTTAATAAATTTCGGATGCGGCGGGAGAGATCAGGCATCTCTCAGAATTCCATTCCAACTGTTTCATTAAAAGGCCCTAAAAAATAAACTTTAATCATAAAACGAGCAGACACATAAACTGTTTATTTTATTATTAAACGAATTATTACACGTACGTTTTTCAAGGTGGACAGCTTAGACAAGATCTCGTTTCCGCACCAGACATCGTAATTTTTATTTTGCGAATCGCTAACGTTGCTAGACTCATCAATATGATCGTTGCCCAACGTAGCTTTATCGTTTTCATCATATTTATTTTCTTCGATAGTAAGTCTTCCGTTTTTATCGATTCGGAGCGGTATAACGGAATTCAGACTATCCATTGAAAGATCTGCATCGTAATTATCGACCTTCGCCTTTGGTCTGTTTAATGTTCGTATCTTAGATTTAACATTTATAAATTTCCTTCTATCGGGAGACGGGGATCTATATAAGTAAAGGAGACGATTAATCATCTGTTATAATCTTATACTACAATCGCGAGTTAATAAGAATCTTATCTACCTCGAGCGTTCGTCGCTAGATTCTATTTGACGTCTCCTCATACGCAATCGTCGTTGATAGTGAGGATCTTTCTCACTTTGCGTGCGATATCGAGTTCCCGGTCTAAGAAATATATGCGATTTATTTGAACACTTTTTATAAATGATAAGGCTGTCAAAATCTACCTGTTAGCATTCCACTGGGGTCTGGACTCGATAGTCCTTCTGGGTTGAGATTTTGATCGAGGTAAACATTTTACAACAATTTCTTCGGTCGAACCATTGTTACTCCTTGTAAATGAACAAATAAAAGCTGTAGCACCGTAAAATTTAATAATTCTCAAGCGCTCCGATATCAATATATCTCCAAATAATCAGATATAAAGTTAAACAGGCTCAAATTGCGTCAAGAGAGAACACGTGGATTCGTGCAAAGAGAAATAAAAAGAAAAATGATTGTAGCATGCATTATAAAAAAAGTGCGTGAAAAAATAGAATCTCGGCAAACTGAAATGAAACAATAATTACCGCTTCTATTTGCAAGACAGAAGAATAATATCCTCTACGACTCTCCGTGTTTTGAAGTGATTCAACGGATCATGTTACGACTCACTTTTCAATATCCCTTTTACTAGCATTCGCTGCATCCTTGTGATCCTTCAACGAGACCTCCTTAACAGCCAAGTCCTGCATCTTCTCCCGAAACTCCTGGAGGTCGCTTTCTACGTCTGTCTGCGTGCCGAAATCGCGGCCAGTGACTCTGTACTTGCTCGGCGTGAGCAGCCTGTTCTCCACGATCGTGGACGAAGAATTCGGAGTCCAGCTCGAATTCCCGACACGGTGCACGAAGGTATTCAAACCTACAGATAAATTATTGTTCGAGGCATCGAATTTCCTCGGCGACGGGCTCAGCACCAGATTGACCAACTGTAAATTCGCCTTATTGAGCAGTTCGGGATCTTCAAGTCGACCGCTCAGAACGATCGCCACGTCTTTGCTAACGGGCACTTGAACTGGCTTCGGATCATCGGTATCTTGTTTCGACGTAGTCGAGGAATTGTTATCGCTAATAGTAATAATACTGCCATCACTGCTTCCTTTATTATTCCGCGTCTCCACATCATCACGTTTATCCTTAATGTCGTCATTACTGAGAGATACGTTTTGTTGACTTCTAGCGCTTAGACAACTATGATCGAATTGGCCTTCGTTCGACACTTTCGATTCGCAGCTTCTTTCTGTAATATCGTCGCACTTTTCATATTTCCGCCGGTTCTTTTTTTGTTCCTTCGCCAAACGTTCTGCCGCCTCTAAAACTTCGCGCATCGCCTGCTCCTGCCGCGACTTAGCTGCTTCCCGTTCTTTCAATCGTTTCTGCTCTTCTTCGAATCTAGCAGAGAAATAATTTTGATCAATCGCAGGAGAGAGAGAGGAATGGAAGTTTGATGAATACCTTTCTTTTTCTTTCTCCCTTTCTCGTTTAATCCGTTCTTCTTCCAGTCGTTCCTCTTTGAGCTTTCGCTCCTTTTCTTCCTTCCTCTGACGATCCTTCTCCTCAAGCTGTTTCTTAATGGCGTTCTGAAGCTCCAGAGCTTTTTGTCGTTTTGCTTCTCGTTCTTGAAGGATACTAGCGTCGACGGGAATATTTTGACCACGTAGATACGTCTTATTATCAGGTCCGATCGAGCCTATCGTCGAACTGTCTGAACTGCTCGCACTTTCGTGATTAATAACCAGAACCTTGGGAAAGATCAATCCGGAATATTATAAATGTCAAAAAATTCCTTTAAAACTAAACCTACTCTGCACCGGTTTTAAGGATGTATTAGCTATACGGTCAATCCCGAAAGTTTATGTACTTTAGAAAAACGCATTTCCTATGATCAAAAAGAAATCAGACGACGGACGAACAATGAAAAGAGCTTACTTGTTAACGTNTTCTTCTATAAGAAATAAAAAGAAAACTAAATTCGTATTGTTAAAATTCTAATTATTATTTAAGTTTCTACACCAGATTGCATTTAAATATAACAAATATAAATGTAGTATATTAGTATATAAAAACTGTCAGTAGGTTTAGTGTTAATTGAGCTTAGTGAGCAGGTGTGCAATTATTTAGTTATTTGTACAATCGTACTTGACTCGACTGTCCTAATCTTGCCAGCCATGAGGGTGTCGGTGGATCCCTTTGTGTAGTCTCCTGACCCCAGACACTGCCCCACCTTGGCCTGTTGAGTTCGCCTATCCTACCATCAGACAATCGCCTTGACGGTGGTAACGAACTCTCAGGTGTTGCGTGATAAGGATTCTGCCACGTCTTCTCGGACATTTCCGCTCCCGGCGGTTTGCAACCGGGTAACAGCGCTGCCATAAAGAGAAAGCGTTTGCTAGCAAAAATCTAAAAAATTACTGAAGTACTTGCAACGAAATTTAGACTGCAGCTTTTTTATTCTGGAGCGTCACGGGGTGTACATATTTCTTTCTGTCAATTACTCAGCGTATCTTAATAATCGTAAAAATCGATACGTTTTTAAAATAAAGTCTCTCAGAAGGAATATTTTTCATACTTCCATATGTGGGAGTAAAAGCCTCAATGCTGTAAGTCACTCATCAGCCAAATTGACTTACACTACGAATGCTAATACATGAAATCCTAACTCGTCTAACATATGGTGACAGCATAATGTAGGCACGTTAACAGAATAGCTATACCGTTTCCGGAATCTCCCAATTTCGGAAAGTGAATTACAGTACTATGACTTTTACATCTTTATTACAGTGACTTGAGCTGCAACGGAAGAAAATACGCGAACGAGTCTATACTAATAATTATATAATTTGATTTTAAATTAAATACATTTTTAATTTCTAAAAATTCCGTGTACCAGCTTACCTCCTTTCGCAGATACCGGTACGTCTATAGAGTCACTGGCGTAACCGGAAGTCTCTCCCTCGCGTTCCTCCCCCTGCGAGCCGTAATGATTAATTTTCGAATTCTCGTAACGATCGCAAAGTCTACGCGGTTTCTCGGAATGATAGTGCAAACCCTCTGCGGCGAAGTCCCGTTGCTGCCCCTAGGAATACGAAAGAACGGATTTATCGTAGACGATAAAAGCGTTCGCGTGACGAAAGCACAATTTTCTTCTTCTCATCAATCTTGAAGTCGTGCTTCCTTTAACGTGACCGTCTACGTATGTATGAGTCCATTGAATATGATCGTTGTGCCAGTACGAGACAGGACCGACAGATCGTAATGGGGTTCGGTATTGATTCGCAAGATTTATGGTTGCTGTTCGCTATCTTATTTTAGGATGAATTGTGAGCATGATTCTTATTCTTATCTGCGTTTAAAATTGATTTTAAATTTACCCTATGTCAACCGATTATTTTAACGATGTATCCTATATTTGGTACAAGTGTCCCTGAGAAACTTGGTCACTATAACTACCATACATTATGTATAGATAAATTATAGGCTGGACTAGGGGTGAATGAACTTTAATTTCAAGATAACAATCAATTTGCCGGCCTGCCGTATATAGAGCACATACGTAGACTGCTATGTAGAGTACATGACTCTTAAATTTTTTATATAGGTACAGGTAGTTAGTAGGTAGTTATTAATACAATCTCGAAACGGCACTTAAAAGCTCGTTCTCATTTGTTATTCTGTCGTCGTATAGAACAGCTATTAGAATAAATTGTATGTGTGCACTGAATATGTAAGAGCGGAGTAATATAACGGTAGGAAAGTGGAACAGTGTTACGTTACGAATAATTCAATCCAGCGTCTAGAAATAGTGACTTTATGTATAAGAATGTTCGCATTTTAAAATGATGTGTTTTATAATAGGAATTTAAATGAAATTATCGTTTTTTAAGTACGTGTACATAAATTCGTTAAATAAACGAACCTGGCACAGATATTGCTGCTGATCCTTGCTGTAAATCGGCGGCAAACTCGGGCTTCTGTGCCTGATTTGCGGCGCTTCCGGTTGTTCGTGCAGATTTATCAAACTACCACCGTTGCAGTCCAGACACTTTAGGCTCGGGTCACCGTTCCCGGAACTCTCTGTCGCCAAACTCTTCAGGCTGACGGTGCTTCCGTAATGTCCAGTAGCACGGAAGGGTTTCGAGGACGATCGCTTGTCCTTGATTTCCGCCAAAGACATTCTTGAGCCACTTGGATACGTTCTGCGTTACGCGTTTCGTTAATCGCGTCGCAGTGCGAAAGTTCGATTTACGATCGAATCGATATAAGCCTGGCTAGCTTCGAATGTGTTCTCTAGGTGTAACTAGTCTAATGCGTAAAGGATGTATTGGCTACACAGTCAGTCCCAAAAATTTATGTATCTTAGAAAAACGCATTTCCTATAAAAAGAAATCAGACGACGGAAGAACAATGATTTTGCATAAAAAAAGTTTACTTGTTAACATTCAATTGGTTTTTAAACAATAAAAATTGATGGAATTTGCAAATTTTAAGTCACTATAATTTTTCAAAAAACCCGTGAATTGATTAAAAATTTTTCAGATAGCTTTTTAATAGTAATAGAAATCTATAATAACAAATTGAACATGCTAGCATTGTTTAAGTATACAGCCTATACATCCTTAAGTGTGAGAGTTTTTGTATGACGAGGCCGTAGATACCTAAGCTAATGGCGATCGAAAGTTTTATTCCAAGATACATGAGTCAATAGTATTCTGATTAAAATTGCGAGAGTTGTAAGAAATGGAGTGCCTCGACCTGTATTCTCATTCTTAAGCTGTTCAACGTAGTCCTTGGAAACTGATACTTATTTTTATTAATGCTTACCGGATGTTGGTGCGGATATTCGTGTTATTTTTCAAAAGACCCCAACTTCCACCAAGACGTGCCATTTCTTCTGCAGAATGAAATATTGTTTTCCTTCGGACTATTGCCATACAGTGCTGTTCACTCGAATTGCCTCGAGTAGCCCATATTATTTTTTCGTAGGAAATTGTATGTGATATGAATAAAATAATATAAATATGTAAAACGATGAAACCATTTGAAGACTAAAATAAGTATGGGATCGTGCATTCGAATTTAATTATTATTACAAATTACCTCGCTCTCTCGCCCACTGGATTCTCTTCTGTTCCACCAACGAGATTCTGCCGATCATATTCGGCGCGCGGCGCGTTTCGCGCGAGAAAAGAAAATTGTTCACCGTGAGAAAACGCAACGAAAAAAAAAAAGGGTAACCGGGGACCTACATCGATCAAACCTTTCTTTAACGATAACGCGCGCCGATTTTACCTAATCCCACCGTTTTTCGGTCTTCGAGCAACGATGAACCATCCGCTCTTCCGGTGCGTCGCGAATTCCGGCAAGGAACGATCGAGTTCGAGACCCTTGAACGTCAGAAGACGTTCCTCGGGTTCATCGCAGGTCGTGTCAATATTTGAGACTGCGGTAGACCTGCACGGCCGTACAAGGTTTAGCCTGGCTCGTACATATATATACGCATACATATGTATGTATGTATTATGTACCCTGTATTAAACGCGAAAGGAACGCGCGGTCGCGATTCGATCGCGCGCCACGTTTCTATGGGAACAATCGTGAATCAACCACGGAACCTTTTGCCCGACTGTCAGGGTCGATAATATTGACCGGTTAGGCAAGATAAGGGATAATGACCTTTAGCCATCTATTTGACGGTCAGAGATCGCATCTTCAACGCAACAAATGTGGATACATCGCCCCAGAGATAAAGCGTTACAAATCGTTAGTTGCAGACTTAAGATTAAATGAGGTGTTAAATAAAACCAATGAGAAAGCATTCTTTTAATAAAACATGTTTCTTCAAATGCGCTCAAATACATAGAGAAGGTGAGCCGCGCTAAAAAGTATCCCTTGTATTAGAGAGAGAGAAAAGATCGGCGGCACCGTCTGTCCTTGTCGTCCATGCGCCATTAGAGGACAGACGCGCTTCCGGTTCTTCCTCTCTCTCTCTTTCTATCGCGAGACGTTTTTCCTTGCAGAGGTCCATATCCCGCGAAACGCGATTATGAACATGCGGCGTGAACAAAACCTGGACTGTTGTACCGTTTTCAATGTCTAATCTTTGGAAACGATAAAAGCGAAGAACTACAATATAGAATAATAATTTTTGTGGCTTAAATTGTATACGGATTAATAAATGAATGTAAACGAATCTTAGAATTTTTATTTCACAATCCTTATCGAACCGAACGTAACGTTCAGAGATTTTCGTATTTTAATTATACTTCAGGATTAACTAATCAATATCTACAAATATAAAAATATATGAACGCTCCTGTGGGTTATTCGGTCAGAATCACGACTTCCGATTCCGATATATCTCAAACTCAAACTCAAACTTAAAGCTCAACGCATGCGGCATGCTCACGTAACCTAAGCGTAAACGATTAAGCTTGTCCGTGTGTTGCGAATATATTGAAGCAATTCGAGCATTATATGAACAATTGAACAAGTATATCTGTTCGAAAATACAGAGTACAATGGTGAACATCGTGAAACACATAACAGATTGTTATTACGACCCTTTCAAATGGTACGTTTAACTAATCTTTCAATTTTATTTCGATAGCCTAAAAGGAATGTATTTTTTGAATGACTTAATTCGAGTATTATATTATATTTAATAAAGTATGTCAAGTGTCTTCAGCATTGACTATTATTGTATCGAACTGGTTGGGAATAAGTAATATCGATTTTCAGTGATAAGAATATCTTCTGATCGTTCGAATGCATTTACTTGCCTTTTGATTATTCATTTTTTATTATATCTTTTATCAATGAGACAATATGAATGTAACTTACTATGTTATCGAGTACTAAAATTGATTGATGAGTGAAACATTATTATAAACATATTTTTTCTAATAAATTGTCTGTATTCAATAATTAAGTTCATTTTAGATAGTCGCATAGATGTGAGAGAATGGACTGAACGTCCAATGTATTGCTTGTAAAGTATTATTGTTAATTATAAAAGTTAGAGAACATGCTATGGTGGAGTTTCTGTTTCTGTCTTTTTTATATGATAATAAAAAAAATACTTTCATTTTCTTCTTTTCAACTGCCAAATCTCAAATCTCCCATTTGTCGGCTCAGTCTACTCTCATATGTCTATCGATATTCGTATCTACATACTTATAAAGCCTTTTATTCGTAGGTCAGTAGTAAAAAGCATTGCACTATTTGCAGTAGGTGTAAAAATTGCCGTCGACTGCAAAGGAATGAATCTAATGCCGCCAATTCCTTAAAAAGGAATTATTAAAATATTACATCGTACATATATCTACCTGTTACCTCCATTTTATTTCTATGTACAAACTTGTTTTTAAAATAATGTATACATATGTATGTTTTCCTCATTTTATAAGTACACTTTTTGTAACTATAATTTGAATCTGTATATAGATGACATCATTAATACATTTCATAGCAATAGTATGTACATTTACATGATTAACGTATTGTAATATGTATAAACCATTTTGATTACGTCTTCATTAATGTGCATTGTACTTGAGAACTTTATATTCTGAAATATACTGATAAAGAAATATGTTTTCATTTATTTCATTTCTATCTTTCTAATCAGATCAAAACAGTATTAAAACTCTGCTTTTGTAGAGGGCATTATGAAATAAATACACATTACAAAAAAGAAAATCTAAATTATATATTTTTAACATTGTGTAGCTAATTTGCGGCTAAGTTGTTACTGTTTCCGAGCACTACTTTTCTTAGCTACGTTAATACGAGGAAAATGAAAAATGGAGTTACTCGACTTTCATAATGAACGGCTCAAATGTAATTTACCGTAGATCGTGGTAACTGGAGTTTAATCCTTTTCTTTATTTTTTTCTTTATTATTTACATACCAAAGACATTGTAAACGTTTTCAGTTCCAGTTGAATGCGTCTTTGTTCTAGCGTTAGGGGAAATCTACCAATTCAAGGAAAATGATACATAGATTACGTGCTAAACAAATAATGAATATTTGGCGAGACGATTTCTGAAACAAAATTGACGCATATTCCGTTCTCGACTAAACATTAATTTGCGTCGCAATATCGTATGTGAGTGAATAATATGAACGATGAAGGTAGATATAGAGAAAATGATTAAATTAACTTCGACACATGTATAACGCGAAGTTCGATTATTATAGGTCATGTGAGACACCGTGTCAAAAATATTTCTGTATACTATGCTCCTTGTTCGATTTCAGGTAAGTCTAAAATTTCTCCAACGAATTCGGCGACGTTCGTTTCCTTTTTGGCATGCTCTGTGATGAAATCAAGCTCCAATAATTGATTGTAATTTGGACGGGCAGTATAATTTTTCATCAAACTGGAAATTTATGATAATTGTTGTTAATTAAATACATAGCACTGTAATATGTGAATAATATTTTAAGCGATTTTTCCAAATACATAGATATGTCACTTTCTTCATGAATTTAATATAGAGATGTAAGAAAAAATGTTCCAAACACAAGCTAGGTTTCAAGAAGCATATATGTATACTTACGATCACTATTTAACATCATTAATACATAACGTGGCTCTATTCGATACCATATAAACGTAAAAAATAATGAAATTTACCACTTATTGATGAATTCTTCGAAACTGGCTGAGAACTTGCCAGCAGGTAATTTTGGTGCTTCGTCTTTAACAACTTGTTTCAGTTGTTCAAATGGCGTACCCCACGACTCGTACGGAAATTTCCCCGTTGCTAGTTCAACGAGAGATATACCTAATGACCAAACATCAGATCGGATGTCGTACTGTGAAGGGTTACCCGACGGATCTATCCTTTCTGGCTGAAAAAAAGTTTCGATTGCAGAATTTATTTAATAGACAGTAAGGTAAACGTTCCAATTTCTATTCGCGTCACAATGAATTAGATATTCAATCTACGTGGTATATAAAATAAGTTAGAAAGTTACGCACAGCCATGTACGGTTTGCAGCCAGCATCGATAGTTTTGGCAACAGAATCTACGAGGTAACCGGAAATACCAAAGTCACAGATCTTGACTTCCCCTTTGCGGTTGATTAAAATATTACTAGGTTTTACATCCCTGTGGATCACTCGCAGTTGCGAATATAGGTAATGCAATGCACTTACTACCTAGAAACCAAATTTTAATTGCAATTATGCTGGTTAATAAATGTTGTACGTGGAGCATAAAACTATACACAATGGCGAAAGTGAATGTATATGCAATGATGAACTTTGAAAAAAATTCGCGGTCTATTTATTTAGATTTAGGTTTTCTAAAAATGTATGTATGCATGAAAACATTTATAATTTGATTTCCTCTTACTGCGAAAGCAATTTTCCCTAAAATATCTTCAGGAATGGAACGGCCATGTTGGTACACTTTCGTGTAAAATTTATCCAGGCTCATGTCCATCACTTCCATGTGTCTTTGTTCTAGCGTTAGGGGAAATCTACCAATTCAAGGAAAATGATACATAGATTACGTGCTAAACAAATAATGAATATTTGGCGAGACGATTTCTGAAACAAAATTGACGCATATTCCGTTCTCGACTAAACATTAATTTGCGTCGCAATATCGTATGTGAGTGAATAATATGAACGATGAAGGTAGATATAGAGAAAATGATTAAATTAACTTCGACACATGTATAACGCGAAGTTCGATTATTATAGGTCATGTGAGACACCGTGTCAAAAATATTTCTGTATACTATGCTCCTTGTTCGATTTCAGGTAAGTCTAAAATTTCTCCAACGAATTCGGCGACGTTCGTTTCCTTTTTGGCATGCTCTGTGATGAAATCAAGCTCCAATAATTGATTGTAATTTGGACGGGCAGTATAATTTTTCATCAAACTGGAAATTTATGATAATTGTTGTTAATTAAATACATAGCACTGTAATATGTGAATAATATTTTAAGCGATTTTTCCAAATACATAGATATGTCACTTTCTTCATGAATTTAATATAGAGATGTAAGAAAAAATGTTCCAAACACAAGCTAGGTTTCAAGAAGCATATATGTATACTTACGATCACTATTTAACATCATTAATACATAACGTGGCTCTATTCGATACCATATAAACGTAAAAAATAATGAAATTTACCACTTATTGATGAATTCTTCGAAACTGGCTGAGAACTTGCCAGCAGGTAATTTTGGTGCTTCGTCTTTAACAACTTGTTTCAGTTGTTCAAATGGCGTACCCCACGACTCGTACGGAAATTTCCCCGTTGCTAGTTCAACGAGAGATATACCTAATGACCAAACATCAGATCGGATGTCGTACTGTGAAGGGTTACCCGACGGATCTATCCTTTCTGGCTGAAAAAAAGTTTCGATTGCAGAATTTATTTAATAGACAGTAAGGTAAACGTTCCAATTTCTATTCGCGTCACAATGAATTAGATATTCAATCTACGTGGTATATAAAATAAGTTAGAAAGTTACGCACAGCCATGTACGGTTTGCAGCCAGCATCGATAGTTTTGGCAACAGAATCTACGAGGTAACCGGAAATACCAAAGTCACAGATCTTGACTTCCCCTTTGCGGTTGATTAAAATATTACTAGGTTTTACATCCCTGTGGATCACTCGCAGTTGCGAATATAGGTAATGCAATGCACTTACTACCTAGAAACCAAATTTTAATTGCAATTATGCTGGTTAATAAATGTTGTACGTGGAGCATAAAACTATACACAATGGCGAAAGTGAATGTATATGCAATGATGAACTTTGAAAAAAATTCGCGGTCTATTTATTTAGATTTAGGTTTTCTAAAAATGTATGTATGCATGAAAACATTTATAATTTGATTTCCTCTTACTGCGAAAGCAATTTTCCCTAAAATATCTTCAGGAATGGAACGGCCATGTTGGTACACTTTCGTGTAAAATTTATCCAGGCTCATGTCCATCACTTCCATGCATATCCATACATCCCCTTCCCTGAACAACGCTCCATAAAATTGGACCGTGTATAAGCACGCCGAGCTGCGCATAGAAATGTCCAAATCCATGAGTAGACGCTTTTGTTCCTGTGTATTAACTGTCACAGCTATTCTCTAGAGAACGAATGCAATAAATAAATTATGAAATCCATTATTCTGCTTATTTAATTTTATCGATAAGACTGATACAACTAAAACCTTAATCAAGGAATTGATTTGCTTGTATGCTAAGAAAGTAGTTATATTGGATCGATAAAAATTGAAAGATTGAAATACGCTTAGAATTTAAAACATTAAAGGCAATATTTAAGTTTGAGCAATCTATTAAAATGAATTTTTGCGATTACTAAGAATAATGTTAATTGTATCACTCTTCCCTTAAGCCATTCGACGATCGCTGAGTATAAATAATACCTTAACTGCCATTATAGTACCACTTTGCTTATGCCGCACTTTATCCACGATACCATAGGCACCACGTCCAAGAATACAGATCGTTTCTAAATCATCTGCCTCTACCACAAACGTTTTATCACCTATAGTTATTGTAGTCCTCTTGTCCAAATTCCTTGGCGGGGTGCTACGATGTACAAATATTATCATTCATGTTACAATTGTAATGAACTGATTCATGATGATAGTTCATAGATTACAACGTATTTAATTTGTAATTACTACTTCATATGTACATATGCTTCTAACTATACCATAGAAAAGATTTTCACACATTCATAGTCTAAGATTTAAAGGAATTAGTGTAAAAAAACAATATACAGGGTGATCCACCTAAATATAGCCACCAATATTTAGATGGACCAAGTAACAAGTTTATTTTGTAAACTGTATATATGTACATACTTTGTAAGCTGTATGATCATATAAACTATTGATTCATCAAGAGGTGTCTAAAAATGGAGTTCTAGTATACTTGATGTTAATTTAACATTGATAGTGATTATTGATATTGTTTTAATTTTATGTTGTACATACACAGGTAGAGGTGCTTCTTCAGAGACCTGCAACTTCAAGTTTCTCTTTCCTCGACGTAAAGCCATGGTGCAATGGACAAGTGATAAATAATATTAGGCGTAAATATAATGGTAGACGAAATTGAATACAATACATATTCAACTAAATTGTAACGAACGCTCCGACACGTATCCTGCAAAGTATTTCAACTTGTGTAAAAATCGTTAAGGATTACAGGTTATGTAATGATTGTGATGTATAGATAAACACGACTAAGCTGATGAAAGGAATTAAACGTTTCCAAGTTCGATCGTAAACTGGTTAAAACTAATTCATATCTTACCTTACTAATAACATGATGACACTGTAAATACAATGACAATGATCAAATTTGAAACGTCCACTACTCGTACACGAAGTTTTCAGCAGTTTTCAGTAAAATAAATTTTCACTGAAGTAGTCACTTGAAATTGCTCGCAAAAGCCGATACAGTTTCAAAAGTTCGAAATCCTTACTGAACATTCGGAACGAAAACAGAGAAAAATTGCACGAACTATTTCATTAATTTAAAGGAAATATAATTAAAAATTCATTGAAAATTTAATACACAGCTAAATATTCTAAGAAAAGAGTTTTATACTCTGTTACGTTACGGCTGAATCGGCTTTCAACTTCATTCCGTGAGTTGCCAGCTCCACGTGACGAGAATTCTCGAAACTAATCTATGAATACGAATTATAAAATTATTCTAATAATGCGATAAGCCTGATCATAATAAATTTATCAATCAATCATCGAACTCTTAATCAACTCAAGAAACTAGTAGCTCGTTTAGCGTTTATATAGGTTTACCTTATGGTTTACCATACGCCTACTTTTTCGCGGGCAGGTCCTCTTCTTTAACCGTAACTTTTAAAAATGACGGTAATATAATTACATGTGCGTTCGAGGGTTTTGCATTTTCAGATGTAACAAGGAAATAAAGAGATTTCATAATTACAGCATTTAAGACTCCAATTTTATCTATCCGGCTACCTGTTTAAAATGTAATCATATAATTATTTAGAAGAATAAGAATGCTTTTATCGATTTTATTTTATTTGACTCATTATTACATACATAATAGATAGTAATTCTTGATTCCATCACGCAAGGTTTACGATAAATACATACGTTACAAGTGGCCTACATATAAGAAGAATATCGATACTGTACGTCTGCTAATTTACATCTGCTTACTTACGTTAGTTTCAAAACGGTTGATTGAACAGACAAAACAATTGAAACATCAAACACGAAAAGTTACTTATCGTTACAGAGAGAGAGAGAGTGTGTGTGTCTGTGTATGTGTGTGTGTTTTTCAAATATACCTATTTATGCACTTATGTGTATATTAAACAATTACAAAGGCTCCTTTACAAATACGACGGGTATCCAATATTTACATATACCTACGTTATTACCTCTGTTACCGCTATAATTTACAAAATAACGCAGCGAACTTCGAAAATTATAAGAATCCTCTGTAATATCGAGTTGATATATTTTTTAAAAATTGTCCAATTCTCCGTAGCACGGTAAATATGTACGATTAGAAACAAAATAATGGCAAGTGAGAAAACCGTTTGCAATATTATTCTTGTTTGGTTGTTGTTCCCTAATACAATTGGCACTTGATGGTCAGAACGTGGAG